CAAACCACATGCCTTCTTGCTAACATGGCTGATGAAATTAGAATTACGACTCCATGCTCCTGTTGCCACTGCAGTGGCAATGGAATTAACAATGCAAATGGTCCTCATCCATGAAATCAACATCAGTCAGAAGACTACCAGCAATGGTGTTCCCATCTAGTGTTCCCTTACAGATCATCAAGAAGGCTCATGAAGTTTGTCCCACCAGCTGTTTTAAAGTATGAGAATCATTTCATAATGTTACTCTGTGAAACTCTGCATACACTATTCTCTTCTTGTGATTCTGTTCACCTTTACTGTCCCCTGGAGCAATAGGGACAGGAGTGCTTATTTTTATCAAATAGCAGGGTAACTAACCAGAGAACACAGGAAACACACAAGGATCAGACTGCTGCACCACATATCTAAATCAACTGCAAGGCCAAAGCATTCCTCCTGCTCCAAATCCATCCTATCTCCAAGCTCTGCCACGCTTCATTTTCTCACTCTAAATCTCATGTTTATCCAAACATCAGTCCTCCTAAATTCAAAGGAACAGTGAGAGACTTTTGCATAATTTTTGTCATTTTAAAATACATTGTGCAGCTTTTAGTGATTGCTAGAAAAATCAGTTACCACAAAGCAAAATCAGTAAAGACTTTTTTAAAGTCATTGTTAAAAAAAAATAAAAGAATGGTTTTGAAACAGTTGGCACCATTTGTTTAATAAAAAAGAGGAAAAAAATGACTGCAGTGAGCATAAGCATTGCTTAACTCAGACAAGCAAATAAGTAAAAACCCCATCGATTTCTGTTTCAGTAAAATATGATTTTTCTGGATTTTGCCAGAGAGAAGTAAGACTGTGCCATGGTAATGTGTTAACTCCATTTGATAACATTCTTTACTGCATATTTCATTATTTCTCAACATCTCACAGGTACTCAAAAAATACTTAGCCACAAACCACATTTAATTTCCAAGCCCATATGTTGAAAGCCAAGTAAACACATCACAAACTGGGCACCTGCTTACCCAAGACCAACACATGGCATTTATAATTTTACCAGTTCCATTACTAACATATCCAAACAGTGCCAAAGGTAGTAATCCAAAGACTTTTCAGGCAATGGGAATGAACTGGCTTTTTCAGAATCAAAGCATTAAAATCACCGCATGGATGATACCAACAGAAAAACATAGTGCTAAACTTTACAATGCATTGCAGGGGGTGGGGGATACAGGAGTTGGGGGGTGGTAAATCATAAATGTTAAGGCAATAATACAGATGCTCAGAAATAGAAATAAGAACTCTTATACACATTGTCAGCTGTTATCAGCTGCTCCTGCCCAAGTGCATAATATACACTTTCAGTGACAAAACAGCTGGGTACCACCAGTCCTTCTTCTCCCAGCAACCTAAATACTGAACTCTCTGGCAACCAGTGCATCCTGTAAGGACTGCCTGATCTATCAGGTGATTTTGGTTTTGTTATTATAATAACCAAAACTCAACCACTGACCAAGCCAGAGCATTTTCCCAAACATGCTCACGGTGTCAGGCAAGATTCAATAAGGGTAACAAAAACCTAGAGTATCTGGGAAAACAGGAAAACATAATACAGACAGTACAGACATGTTTGAGGGATATGGTGTGGACACATCCATGTTGGCCTGTGAACCCCCAGGGTCCAAAATCATAATGCTGGCACTGCACTGAAATAAGCCTTGGTGTATCTCACCATGCCAGAGATTACAGTTCCATGTATTTCACACACAACTGTACGTCCTTCAGGTCAAGCACTAGATCTGAGGTAATGTGCCTAAACACAATCTCAGGTGACACCATCCTGCTCAGGATGTGAAACGGTAAATCCAGGAAAACCTTTGTTCAATCTCAACACTGCAGGAATGCTTCTGGACTCCAGCTAGTCCTGAAAACAGGTTACATGTGCTGCACCTAAGGAAATCAACCACACCAACTAATGAATTAGCTAAAGCAGCATGCTAGAAATCACTACACATTTGTGGCCTAACTTACTGAACTAGATAAAGACCCTGGTGGGGTGACAGTGGTGGGGAAGGTCTCTAGACTGCAAGCAACATTTTAACCTTTCAGATTTCATTCTTGATCAGATTAGCCACAGCTAATAGGTCCTGCAGCTTTTTGTTCCTAGCCCTAAGAATATCAACAAAGTGCTCCTAATATAGGGTAACTATAAGGGAATTCAGATATTGCACCAACACAGTAAACGTTCCACAAATACAATAAAATAAACCAGTAAGTGGAAACTGCAAGTCTGCATTAATACACTCAGGACTGTGAGGGATGTCATCACCTGGACGTAACCATGAAAAGAGAAAGACATGATGTAAAATGGCTCCAGTGTAAAACTTAGCTGACTATGCTGACTCTTGGCAGCAGCTACTGATGCTGGCCTCTCCAAACCTCTTTCCGAATGCTTATCAAAGCAAACAAACAAGAAAATATTGAACTTTGCTGTAAGTGCAGACACTGCCCACTGGCTTGACCCTACAGACATGAAGGAGTAATGAAACAGGCTGTCCATCAAAAGGGCACAAGAAGTCTGTCTGGAGGTGATGGCATACTTTCAGAAAGAGCAGGCTTCACTTTTATTGCCAGTGAGCACATCCAAGTAAGTGCAAGAAGCCTTGAAGGCCAGGCTTTATTAATGTGTAAACAAAGATTAGCCTCCCCATAATCTCCCCTGCATTCCAACAATCCATTTTTTCTCATTTTCCTTTGAGATTGCTAGCACACAAAAACCAACTCATTCTGTCCTCTATAATTTGTCTTTTTTTGGGGGTCATATTTTCCACTTGAATCATATTCAAAATGTCAGCAAATTTACAGACTAGCAATGCAACATGGAAACAAAGGTATCTAGAAAAAGGTAGGGAGAAAACATTTGAATTCAAGAGTATTTGACAGCTGAATAAGTCATGTCACTGAATTTTGCACCAAGCATAATTTCAGGTATCTCTTTTCATTTCATTCTGTTTTTTTAATACATGGCTGATAATGCATCAAACCAGCTTAAAATAAAAAAGGTTGTTTTGTTTGGTTGGGTTTGCTTTTTTTTTTTCCTAAAGACAATTTTAGTTCTAAAGTAACTTCTAATGAAAACCAGCAGTGGAGACATGTTATTGTGGTGCTTCTGTCAACGACTATGTAACAGCTTTGGAAAATAAGTGGTCCTTAAAAATATAAAATAGACCAAAGTGCTGTGAAAAAAATATAACACATTCAAACTTTACTCTTTGACTGCTGCTCAAAGACATTCTGTCTTCTACAGAGATGCTGCCTCTTTGGGATCAGAGTAAATCAAGTACATTTGACCTCCCGAGCTTAACTCGACTGTAAGTGAATCTCAAAGACAGGAACGCAGGACGTATGATGCTGCAGCCCCGATTGATAACTAAGAAGTAAGTTATAAATAAATCTGGAACAGTTGGGATTGACTGATGTTTAGCACTTTCAGACAGACGTTCAGGACAACTGGCAGGGGCTTTGAAGGCTGTTTCCTATATTAGAATCATGACAAAAATAGATGTGAGGCTGCTTTCCCTTGTCTTCTGCTAAAATAGATCTTGCTCAAACACATTTTTACATGTTTGGAGAGGTATAACTAGTCTCCTGTCAGATACAGAACTAGATCATAACTGTAAGTCCCATGTTGACCTACCATGAATAGTTAATTATTGAATTAATAAGAAAAAAAGTGGAGATTACTAGGAGATATTAGGGACAAGAAGAAGCTGGGTTTACTGTTTTGGTTAGGTTTTTTTAACTTTTAAGTGCAGGTACAATCCAAACTCATGAGTCAGGAAGACTCTAAAGACCTCTAAAATTAAAAGGGAAAATAATGTATTTTACCAATTTTACTTAGGATTATATGTGGTTTTTTTGAAGTCTGGGGTGTTTTCTTGCTGGTTTGGGGTTTCTTTTTGCTTCTTCTGTTTTTAAACTCAAGAAGAGATTATGCATAATAACTACTCTCAGCAAGGCTGAGCTGTGAGAACAGAACAGGAAAGAGGCAGCATGGATGCGGTTTTGTTCTGGTTTTAAGTGCCTCAAATACTGTTTGTAGGGCAAGAGTTTGTCACAGTTATCTTGCCTCCAGCCCTCCAGTTTCCAGATAAATTAAGCTGGCTTTTATTTGTGTGGTTTTTACAGTCAAAATACATCATCAAAATACTGTAGTATTAGTTAGTTCACTAACTGAACAGGCCACTGTTCTGCCAAAATAAGCAGTGTCCTTAATGAGCAATCTGGAGCTTTCAGGGTCAGAGAGAACAGAAAATATTAACATATATATCACAAATGCTGATTAACTTCATGTCACAGTTTCAGATCACAAGTGAACTCCCAAACTATATGCAAGAGGCATGTGTGACTGAGAATAGAACGTCTACAGTGTAATACAAAATCATACAAGAGACTAGGATACAGTAAGAACAATCTGATCTTGCATATATCATGATCTCCCAAACAGGTTTCCCATAAACTGTTCTTTCTCAACCAGAACAAGTCTGTATAGTGTTTTGCTGACGCATGCGAAATTGCCTCACCTGTACACACACTCTAAACCACCCTGAAACGAATCAGCTCCAACCTACAAACTCTGCAACTGTGGTGCACGATGCCGTCTCTCTCAGCAGAGTTCCTTGCTGCAGTTCAGCTCTCTGTGAGCCCTGCTGCAGACTTTGTGATTCTGAGCAGCATCACAGCTTCTTGGGCTGGAGCACATACAAGGTGGATTCATACTTCTCTACAAAATACTGCATACCCAATTCACCAGTGGCTTCCAGCTACTATGCCTATAGTTTCTACAGGATGCAAACTGCAACAGAATCTGCACTAAGAAATTTGTGCAACTTGCCTTCTAAAGTAAGCCTAATGTAAGTTAAGGCATGATTCAAAGACCGCAGGCTTGCTGAAAAGTACACACACAGGACCACATTTCACTGAATTGTGTTTTTTCCATCATTACAACTGCTGAAAACATGCTTACTGAAAGAGACAAAATTCGTCATGAAGAGTCAAACATTTTCTTTGTAATGGATTGCCACATTGCAGACATTGTTCCCTTTCACCAGAAGAGCCTGCATAAATGTATTTTAAACTAATTACCTTTAGGTGGAAAATATGACTTGCTTTCAGCTTTGTGAGGCCAGTCCACCACAAGAGGTCCAAACCTACGAAAGCTGGCAGTGATCTCATCTACAAAAAACAAATGAGGCACCTTAGAGAATCTGAAGACTGACAGTGGCAAGTAAAAATTCTTACTTTCAAAAATTCCCAAAACCAAACAAGCTATTTTCTACACTTATGAAGAAAAGTAAGAACTGCAGTAGTGTACACAGAGGATTACCTAAATATTCTTCCCTCTTCATGCTATACACAGCTGCTTAAAAAAAGTAACCTTACATTCCACTAATGCAAGTTTGCAACAGGATTAAATGCAAACATGATCTATCAGAAGTGAATATGCTTCAGCTGCAATCTATTTCTAATTATAGCCACAAAGCAGGGTCAGATGCAGCCACATGAGACTGACAGAGGAGCTACACGTCAGCATGGCCACTCCTTGCAGCATGCCCTAGAAAGCAGACTGTGTCAGGTCATGTGACTGTGTGGACTTCCCCTTTCTCATCCCCTCTGGAAATCTGCCTTGAATTACCAAGTTATTTCTTTGCTTTTTAAACATCAATTTAGTAACACTGAGGGACACACATCTCAAACTATCCTGTAGGGCAATTCTGTTCTACATGCAAATGCTTTAGAAACAAAGAAGTGTTTGATGTTCTTTTTTAAAAATATTTTTTTTTCCATCAATGCATTTCTTTATGTACTTTAAAGAGAGAATTACTTTAAAACTGTCTCTAATGTGATGCTAGAGAGATCAGAGCAACAATCTGTCAGAAGAGTTTGAAGACTAAGGCAATGGTTTTCTAATTGTTTGCTTGCTGTTTGGGATGTGTTCAGTTTATCTCACCCCATGAGCTGTTCACCAGATTTTCCAAGTGATTACAGCCACAAAACACATATTGCGTAACGCAGGAGCTGAAGGAAAAAAGGTGTTATTGCTCCCAGGAGCCCATGTAACTTCCTCACAGGGTAGGCTGGGCATGTATTTTTATTCTGAGCGACCCAGCAACATTCACATCAATTGTACCTGTTGGCCTCCTGCTTCTTACAGCTGGGGATCCAGATTACCCAGCAGACCCTGTATCAACAGTCCTGTAACTCACCATGTGACAGGGGAACTGTATTTGAGCTGTTTGTAAACCACCGATTGGCAACTCATATAATTTATTTATGAAAATTGCATGTCAGTTAGGCCTCAATTTCATAGATCAGATTCAGAGATCCCTCTCTTCATTACAAGGCCTCCTCAAATTCCCTATATAAGCCAACTGAAGCCAGATAATGGTGTACTCCAGCTGTACTATGAAAAATACAACAAAACCTGTCATTTTGGTCTGGGAGTCAGTGTGGGTGAGGGCACACATAAATAGAGCAGAAATTGACTAGGATGGAGAAAAAAACTGACCATACCTACTGAGCTCGTTATTATTTTGTAACCATATTAAGTGCACTACATTTGTCAACTGAACACTGCATATATGCTGGATATAAGAGCTGATTAAAACCTGGTTTATTTTGGTAAGGACTGTATTAACAAAGTCCTTAAAGTCAAACACATCTTTTTAAAAAAAACTGGTAAACACTACAGAGTGACAGTAACCAAAAAGTTCCCTTTTTCAGCTTTCCCACTTTACATACATGGGAACGCTTGCTGCTATTGCAGATTAAATGACCTGCTATGAAGGCATTTCTGTCTCCATCTCCTCTGATCTACAGCAGAAAAGAATGTCAGTTAAATTCTGAGGTGCTGCAGGTGGTGGTGTTTGCTTTAAATAATGCCAGGAGCACTACAAGCAACATACCTGTGAAAACACATTTCATTTTAGGAAAATTGGACCTTTTTAAAGTAACTGTATGAAAGCCAATTCCCACACCTCACCAATGTAACTTGTTCACAGTACCTTCATCAATGTCAGGAGGAAGACCTCCAACAAACACCTTTCTAGAATAGCGTTCCACTCTTTCACCATTCTGACATCGTGTTGGAGAGCTGAGACCCGATGATAAAGACTGATCACCATGACTGTCATCTAGGAAGCCATCTTCAAAAGGAAAGAGTGAAGACCGACCTGTAACAGATTTTGTAGTATCTATAGTTAACGCTGTTTCCTGGAGAATTAAATATTTCAGTAAAAATTGTTATTCTTTTAACGTTTTGCTTTAACAGAATTTACATAAAGGGGCCCAGCTAAGTGGTCCAGTTATCCAAATGATGTTCGTTAGTTTTGCTTCTATTTTTCCAAGACCATATTATTCTTAAAGACAATAAACCTAATATAGCTTTAAAACAAACACTTGCAAATGACTAGCAGTGAAAACCAGCCAGTTATCTGATGTAATTGTGTGTCATAACTATGGAAACAACTTTTGTAAGATTTAAATTTAAAAATAGTTCTTATGGATTTAAATCTTCCATAAAAAATCTTGAAGGAATGATTTTTAAGTGCACGACAATTTCCTTCAGAGTGCTTTACAGGGTCCTAGCCGCAAGGGCTGCATCACTTCCCCCTTGAGTGAATAGAGGACCAGTCTGAGTAGGGGGGAAAATGGCAAAATAAACGTAGAAGAGCCCTGTGTTGTGGATATTAAACATGTAGGTGAAGCAAGATGGTTATCTAACACGAAAAAAAATATCTTTAAAATCTTATTAAATAAATTGCACTTGAAGATGAAAGTTGTTATCTAGGGCAGCCTGTCAAGTGTTAAAACACCCTTTCAGTAATGAATTAATAAAAAGCAATTTAAATGGCTGCTATTCAGTTTGTTAATGAAAATTAATTTAATTTGTGATCATCTGATGCAATTAACTTGTTGCTTGCTACCAAAGTACACATACATTACCTTAAGAACAGATTTATTAACCAGAAGATTAAGAAATATTCAAAGTTTCTATATAAGCAACACTAGAACATGCCAACTTCAGAATACAATAATTCCCTATAGCAGAGTTGAAAATTAAATCCTGCAATGTATACAGATGTCTAAATGGGAACCCCATCTCAGCCCTGAGAATGCCAACTGTCCCTTCATGTCATGGAGGATTGCTCTCAGGGATGGAATTATAATTACTTGATACAAACAGTTTATAGGGGCACAGAATTTAATTCAAAGTTAATGGATCACATGAAACTGACTTCCAGCAAGACCTAAGAAAGAACTAACGCCATACTCCTATCAACAGCAAGGGGCATGAAGAAAAATCAAAACATGCAAAGGGACACTATTCAGAAAAATGTATACATTGAAAATATCAGTAATAGTCTCCAGCAGCAAAGGACAGATTACAGAAAAGCAGCAGCAATCCACTATATGGAAAAGAAGCTAACAAACAAAAACAAGCAAAAATGTGATTGACACAAAACATCAGTCTGATTTTTTCTAAGCACCAAGCACTGGGAAAGTCCTGATTAGAAAGAGTATATAAAATGCACAACACTGAGAGAGATCTCGGATACAAAATTCCACTGAAACAAAAAAAACCTACTGTGCCTTTAAGCACCGACATTAAAAAAGGTAAATGCCACAATCAGAGAAGGATCCACATTTTAGTCTAGTATAATTAGTTGTAAAAAATGGTGGGATTAGAGCATAAACCAGGAAAGACTATTTGATGAATATCCCATTAATGGACAAACAGGTCATGCACATTTATAAACATGAGCATTTCAGCTTAAAAGAGAACACATGCGTGAGAGAAATAATAATTAGGAAGGCTAAAACTGCATAAAAATATTGAATCAGAAAACACACTGAAAAATAAGAAATGAGAAAACATCCATAAAAGACTGACATTACTAAGAAGCTAAATAATCTTTTAATTCCCACACACACCCCAACCTACTTTCTTGTAAAAAATAAAACAAACATGAGCCATTAATGGAAGCTGACACATGAAATTAACAGATGCTAGAACAATGTGTTCAACTAAAACACAGGTGCACAGAGGAGGCTGAAGGAAATAATAAAAATGCACAGCAGCTTAAAAACCAAAATTTCTCCTCTTATGCCAAATGACTGACAGCCTGCAAGCACTGTACTCAAGTAAATGCAAAAGATGACCTAAAAATGTATAATTACATGTATGAAGTATATATTTAAAATAATGGAAAACATACAGACAAGGGAATAGAGAATAACTGTTCACTGTCTCTTCCAGTAAGTGGAAAATAAAGTGCAGTGGATACAATCAACACGTGGCAAGACTGAAAGCAAGTCAAGCTGTGGAACCCGCTGTCATAGACTTCTTAGGATGCTGGAAAGTTTACGTAAGTTCAAAAAGTGAATGAGCAAGAACATTAGAAAAACCCATTCTGAAGCGATTAATACCGAGACATCACCTCAAGAAACCCTCAGAGGCAAATCTCTGGGAGAGTAATATGGGAAAACCACTAGATGCCTTATGTTTTAGTTGTGTGCCCTTGTCAGTGCAGCAGAATAGATTTTGCGTTGATTTCCCATAGCTGTGCTGATATCTATACCTGAGAAACTGGTTGTAAAAGTTAAAAACCAGGTACCTAAAGCAACATGACTCAACAGCTCTAACCACGATACCTACAAGGAAATGCTCACCTCTACTCAAAGAAAACTGGGGATCAAGCAAAGAACTGATAGATCATGGCAAGCCCCAAGAAATTTCTGACGAAACCTTCCCACTGAAGATGCTTAGTCACAGTGACATAATTAAATGCTAAATACAATATCCACATATAATAAACATGACTCCCTGCACAGATTTGCCTGAGTACTTTGCATATTGCAACAATGGAAATGGAAAAAACAACAGTAGAGAGAGATATATGAGAATATTTGATATACAATGAATCATGTTTTTAATAGACTGTTGTAGAATTTCATGTTTCTTAATGTTAAGAAAGCTCAAAACAGCACTCTAAAATTCAAGGTAATGAAAAAGCATGAGTATCACAGACTTTCATATTGTACAAATAACGCAAGTCACAAAACCCCTAACATTAATGACAAGACACACACACACACGCACACATAAATCTATTTATTGCTACAGAAAAGCCTGATTTTCACACAGGAAACTTATTATGGAGTGAAACATGCTTTTTGGTAGAGAAAAAAAAAAAAATCTGAAAGCCCAGCACATTCAGAACTTGTTTGCCCTGTTTTGTCATCACTGTAATTTCTATAAAACAGCCTACACTGTATTCATCACAGTTACTGCCACACCACTGTATTTCACTTCTACAAGTAAACATGTGCTGCAAGCAGGTAATAAATGTCCCACTGATTCCCACCTCCTTCCCTACTTTGGTGCCATTTGATTAACCTGGAAAAGCTTGCCAAACCTTAAAATCAAATTAAACTGCTTACATGCACAGGGAGTATACAATATTATATACTCCACTTACTTGCCAATTTGTTTCAGTACCATAAGAGCACTGAAAAAGTAGGAGTATTAGGATGCTTTCAACATCGAATCTGTTATCATCAACGTCAGCATCTGTTAACAATAGCCTGTTCTATTGAGGCAGGGAAAAACAGGAAGGTAAGTTTGTGGGGAAAAACTATTTCCTTTTTGTTTAGCTGTCAAACACTAAAATCAGCTTTGACCAAAACCACCTCAAATTCTGTATTATTATCTGTGCTAGTGTAGCTTTTATAGCCTACTACCATCCATACAGATGTATGAACTAAAAGATACTCGTATGCTATTGGTTTGCTTGTACAGCTAGGTTTGTCTCTAGGTTTCTTCACAAACCTGGTGCAAATTGTACATTTTAAAAAGGCAGCAATGTCACACGCACAGCTATCACAGAACACACATGAAAAAAGACAATAAAATGAAGTTTAATGCCAAAGTACCCCAGACAGATGGCACTGCCCAACTCTGATTGTTAGAAGCTGCAATCTTCACTGCTATTTTCTCAATTAAAAACCTGCTTGTGTAACCAGTGGCACATAAATGTAAGCTACATTTGTAGCTTTCTTGGTAGTCAGCAAGCTTGCTATTGTCCATGTTCATTAATCTCTCAGAATAAACTTTTATGCAGCGCTGAACGTTTGTAAATATTTTCAGTCTGCTTTTATTTTTTAAGGCTTGTCTATGATAAAGTTAAAATGTGCTCAAATGTTGTGTCTTTTATTACCGTCATCATTAGTGTTCACTCTTGAGGACAGTTACTAGTATTGGTATTCACAATGTTGTATCTAAGGCTGATTCTACCTCCAATATAATACTCAAGTGTGATATTCAGTGAAAGATGTTCCATCTAAGAAGTATTTTTGAAATGTTCAATGCACTAGTTAAACATTGCACTTACACCAAAAATACAAAGCTGAAAATAATCTGTCCTTTTTGACCACTATGCATTTCAAGTCATAAATGTGTGTCATGAAAGAGTTTTTACATTCAGTCATCCTCCAGTTCACTAGTAACACACTTGAAGTTATCAGCTCAAGATCACCATTGCTTTAAGCTGCTATTAAAAGGGAGATGTTTTGCAAATGAAAAACATAAGACTGATTTATACAACTGATCAAATAATGTTAAAATCGGTAACATCATAAGAGAACTAAATATTTATTTCTCCCACTATTCAGCAAACAAAACATTTAGTAAATACTTTTACCTCTTCTCCGCCCATAGCTCCTGGCTGCATGTAAACACAGAAGAAAATTGTCGGTACAGCTGTCATTAGATTTAGCTCCAAAAGCAAAGAAAATGTAGCTTCTACCTCTTCTCTTTTCCCCTCCCACCATAAAGAAGGAAAAGACATTCAAGAAGTGCAAGATGAAATTCAAACAACCCAAGACAAGAGAAAAAGTCTGAAGATGACACAGCCAGGGGGAAGAAAAAAACAAAAAGGGAACATACCTGCTGGGCAAGTTTTCTACATAGCAAAGGTATTTAAAAAATCAGGCATATCAGGCTTACAGTACTATAAAATAGTAATTTAGGATTATGGTTTTAAGAAGCAATAAACATAATAAACAGTAATCCTAATTAGAAAAATTCATTTTGCATTTTATTAATTAGTTGTGGAGAGCATATCTTTTGATTATGTTTCAATTTAATTAATTAACAATCTGTAAATATCAAAATCCTACCAAAGCAATATGAACTCAATAGTCACAGTGTTCAGACAAGTAAAAACAGATTGACAAAACATCTTTGTCACTAC